TGAGTTGCCCTTATTTCAAACCCAAGCTCAAATTTAAATATCATATTTGATATCTAAATCTATTTTTCAATCTTAATTGCCACAAACGCTAGAAATTTAAAAACTTAAAACTTAAATTAAAAAATTTAAACCTCAATTTGAATTTAAATAAACCTTAATCAAACATCAACCTAATTTATAAAATATAATAAATTTAAGTCAAATTCAACTTCATAAAAATTAATCAAACTTCTCAAATTTCAATAAATTTTAACCTTAATTAATTTCACTAAACTTTAATAAACATGAACAAACTTAAATAAGCTTTAATTAACTTTAACAAACTTTAATAAAGTTTAGTAAACTTAAATAAACTTTAACAAACTTTAATAAGTTTTAATAAACTTTCAAAAACTTAAATAAATTTTAAAAAACAATAATAAGTTTAAATAAGTTTAAATAAACAATAATAAATTTAAATAAAATTTAACAAAAACTTTGCAAACTTAAATAAATTATAACAAACCTTAATAAACTTTAATCCTAACCAATCTTAATTAACTTTAATGAATATAGATTTAACAAATTTCAACCAACCTTAACAAACATCAATCAACTTTAAATATTTCAAGATAAATCTAAAAAGATTTCAATAATGAACTTATTAATCCTTAAAAAAAATTTAATATTCTTCAAATAAATTTTAATAATCTTAAAATAACCTTTGAAATAAACCTAAAATAACTCCAACAATCTTAATCAATATAAAATAAAAATCAATTTAAACAAGCAATTTTAATCAAACACAACATAAACAAAATTAAACATATTCTCAACAAATAAACTTTAAAATAAACTTAAATCAATTAGAATAAACAAATCAACTCAAACTTATCCAACTCAAGTTCTCAGCTCAAGTGAATCACTCTTAATCAAATATGTTCAAATTTCTTCAAATTTCACTCACATCATTTCAATCTGTCTATTTGAGTTTTCAATATCAATTATCTCACAAATATTTATCGATGATCACGATTGATATAAGTCAAACCTTTAATTGAGAGTACTTTCGAGAGCCATAATTTATGAGATGTAACTAATTATGAGAGCTTCCCCTCGTAGGGATACTAAAATTTATAATAAAATAAATCTTATCTTACACCCATAAAGTAAGAGAAAAACCCTTGTTATGTAGATTCATAAATCAAGTAGATTTTCATCACCTGGGTGATTAGACCTATTCACAATAATATTTTTATCCCTCAGGAAAGTATGTTATTCTTTGAATGCCATATATGATCATTTTGATAGAAATATTTCGAGTTCTATGATAGATACACAATAAAAAAACCTACCACCAAAAAGTTTTTGTGAGGCAAGTCAGCCAAGCACACAAGCTTACGTGTAAAGTAATATATAAATATTTGAGCCTGCTTATCAATCCCACAAGAACATGGCTAAAAAATAATCCTAACAGGTGAATTTATAATTTCTTAGCCTACATAATCAGTTTGACGCAATCACAAGTGAAGGGATATAACCGTACAATCTAATGCAAAATAGTAAGCAAAAGAAATAACAAGATTAGGAACTAACTTGAAGCACAAGTTTTGAGTGTCCTCCAAAGGGGATTATGTTCATGCTCCTGTGACCCTAATGTAGTGTATTCCCCTGGTCATCCTAGCAATTCCTTTATGTGATGATTACCAACTAGAGATAATGTTCTTCTATGCCTATGTCTAGGTCATAAGAGTGAAACTGTATTACAATTAAGCGAGAATTAACCATGAAACATTTCTCAGGTCTCTTTGGATCTCCTATCTAGATTGCAAAGTTGTAATATGCCCATTAGACTAAGATTTTATGTGTTAATCTGCTTGTTCCACTAAGAAATGGTCAGAAGTTCTAGATCATATATATTTTTAATATTCTAATGGGTCAGATTAGATGTAAACTAGGTAATGCAAGTTAGCACAATAAAATACATGCATGAAAAGAATAGGAAATACATTTTGAGAAAAAGACATGAAAACACCCTACACTTGCATCATAAAAGCATGAACGCAACTTAGTTATGAGACGTAAGAGGAAAACAAAAGAAAGAATTCATCAAAACCATTGAAATGAGTTGATTATAAGAAAGTAAAACTTACAACACATAGAATGTACTTTTCACATAAGCACAAATCCTCACCTTATAATGAATCTTCTCCATACTCTTCCTCTCCTGCAGGTCAAGCCTCTCTCTCACAATCTTCCTCTCAAAGTACAAAGAAAAGCAAACCCTAGAAGCTTTTCATTCAAGGATGAAGAAGAACTTGTATGGCTATCAATCATTCACAAAACTCTATTTCTCAAGGAATTTGTCCCCTCCAACCATCCCTGGATATTTTAGGTTATGCTCTAGCTTCCTCTTTTAAAGTCCCAATTTAAATCAAACATGAAAGCTCTTACCAAGCTAAGAATGGGTCTCGGTAGCGTGACCACGCTCGATTTCAACATAACTACACATTTTCTAGCACATAATGATCATAGAGGCGGTGTGACCATGCCATATTTGGAATAACCACACCACATTTTGCTTGGCCGTGTCCAAAGCTGACGTAGTTACACTGACCACATAGAAAAGGCGACTTAATTATGCCGCATTTAGGCGTGGTTACTCTAGTTTAGCTTCCTTAATTCATAATTTTCTTGCTCCATACCACGTGTTTAACATTCTATTGCCCGCAAAAAACCACAAACAACCTTGCACAAGAATAAAATTGTAAGAAATAGGGAAAAAATTGCAAAATTTTAAAAAAAATATGTAAATTTTCCTCACGTCAACTCTATAGTGGATGATTGATCCATAAATAACAAATGATAAAGGTTAAAGCTTTAAAAAATTTTCTTACTGCAAATATTAATATTGAAGCTTTAGCTCTCATACTCATAAGGGTGGATCGATACATTCATTTATTGTCGTGAGTGTTTAAAGATTTTTGGAAGACCTCTAGGTAAGTTAGAGAATTTTATATGATATTTTAACTAAGGTGATTGAGTCAGCCTAGGAAATAAGAAAAACAAACTCTAATTTTACATAGCCTATAGGAGTTTACCTTTAAGGCTATGGACTCCAAAAACTTGTAGGACATAAATTCTTCTAAGATTTGTAGGGTAAGTTTAGGGTCTTTGATCTGAAATTTTTGGAATGAATCTAATAGATTTTGGGCTATTTAATGAAGGCTATACCAATGCTAGATCAAGATACCTAAATTGAGCTAATTTTGGCTAGTCTTGAAATATGTAAGTAACTTTAGAAGTAAAAAGAATTGTATAGGTTAAGGTAATATGTGGAGATTTGGTCTGATGATTTTGGTTGGAATTTAGGAAATTTGAAGTGTGGGAAGGAGAAGAGCCAAATTAGGTCTATCTTACTTTTGGTCGAAGACTTATAAGAGAACTATAAATTTCTTTCCTTACTATAAGAGTTAGAAAAATTTATAGAAAAAAGGCTATTAATGTTGGTGAAGGAGTGAGAGTGATGGGAAAAATGATTACTAAAAATAGAATACTTACATTTTCCACAAAGGAGAGCTCAAGGAGACTAACCATAAAACCCATAATTATGAAAAATTTTAGATGTCAAGCATAAAATCCTAGATATAATAATCATCATATTATTTATTAACTTTAAATTTTGAATTTATTAATTAAAATAATTAGTTAAAGAATTATATTGGCTATTTGAAAAGAAACAAAAAAGGAAAAAAAAAATTAAAGATAGGTTCAATCAAATTTTGATTCTAATGAATAAGTTATTGCCTGCTACCTTTAGAATAAATGAAAAAGTAAACAGAAGGGAAAAATGTTTTAATAGAAGTCTCTTACATGGAGGAAAGGATTGAAAATTTAATTTTTTACTTCTAAATTTAAATAATGCATACATATTCAAATTTATAAATACAAATCTTTTCAATTCTGTTTGCAGCATGAATTTTTCTTGACCTTAATTTTGATCTTATATTGGGGCCATCACAGTAATTACTTTCATCTTCAACCCTTAATCTTTGATTTCATAGTGGGGCCATAAAGAGCTATAAATTTGATATTCTACATCACATTAAAGTCTTAAAATTTTAAAATATATAACTTCACTAATCATGATAAATTTGCAAAATGATGGTTGAGAGTTAGACCATAATTGTTAACTATTAGCGTAAATAAATTTTAGAGCTGCGAGATTATAAGATATAAGATATAAAGGTATTAAGAATATGAATATACTAGCAATTTTTTATTTGAAATTTTATTTGAGGCTTTTGCCATTGGTTATGACTCTTTTTAGCATCAACTCAAAATAAATTATTAGACATATCTCTGTAAACAACAAAATAACTGGGAATTTGGCTAATTAAAGTTATATATTATCGAGTGTTTTTTATAATATCTTTTAGTTGATAATATGGTTGGCTTTATTAAAGATGAGTTGACTAATTAATCATCTGTTCCATTGTTGTATTGCATATATGTGTAACTGTGGTTTAGATGTATGAAATCCTACATGGATAGGCTTTCAAGTGCACATATAATGAGCTAGGGGGGATTTTGATCTCTTTAATTTTCATAGAAAATGGGGGCTAAAGTTAAATTTGAATGCCTATGCATAGTTTTGATGTTTCAAATCCTTCATTCACTGGGTTTTGAGTTCATATATAATAACAAAAGTGATTCATAGATTGCCAATTATATAATATATAGTACTTTTAAAGATAATGTTATACTATCTCAATTTTTTGATTTATTTTGAATGAGTGAAATTGTATTTTTTTCAAATCAGAATAGTTTTATGAACAAGTAGAATTAGCACAGTTATTGAATGACTTGAATTATATTTGTATGGATTGAAGCCAACCGAAGTTTATGTCGGATTTATGATTATTCTTTACTCTACTACTGTAAGTTACTGTTAAGAACTAGCAATGCAATTTGTCCATTATGATATCTATCCAAATCACACAGCACAATGTCTTGCTATGATAGATCCTATGTTATATTCACCATAAAGAAATTCTGAAAAATAACAAACAGCTATTATAGCTTGAAAACAGCACATAACATGCTTCTTTACAAAACAAATTATTCACGATTAAAATTACCAAAGAACCCCACTACACCAAGCAAACAAATATATCTTCTTGAGCCATGAGCCCACCAAGTCTTCTTTCATGATTTACTTATCTAAAACTTTCTCAATGATTTCAATGAACTTCTCCGGTGAAGTGATCTGTGGAAAATGGGCTTGATTCTCAATATACTCCAAAGATGTCCCCCCCTTCAATTTGCTCTTCATATAATCCCCAACAGCAATTGGCACGACCTTATCTTTAGTTCCTTGAATTATGGTGCAAGGAACTTTAACATGCTCGAGGACATGCCTTTGATCGCCGAGGAATATCATCTTGGCTAGAGGAAGAGCTGCCTTTTGATTCATGCGTTTGAAGGAGTCTATGAGCTTCTGCAAGGGAATGTGGTCGTTTATGCCCAAGGCTATGGGGGTGAATTCTTCAGCCCATGCTTGAAAATTTGTCTTGATTTTTCCGAGAATGTTCTCCACTTCAGTGAGCTGAAATCCTCCTTGGTAGTCATCAGAGTTTATTATACCCTCATGACCATATATATATATATATATGTGTGCACTCAAATTTAGAATGTAATAATCCGCTTTAAACTTACAAAAAAATATTACGACATGACTCCGAACGTAAAACTACGTTTGGATTGTAATAGTCACTGTGTTATTGGAATACTCCATCAGCGTTATTTGTGGAAAATGAAGTGTTATTGAAATATTCTCCTGCGTTACTTGATTTGGGGTTGTGTTATTCCAATAACATAATATAAATTGAAATAACACGGAGAATATGCCGAATAACACAGCTCCAAATCGAGTAACACGGGGAAATAATCCATTAACACCTCAAAGTAATCGAATAACACCACATAATACTCGAATAATACTTCATTTTTTACAAATAACGCTGATGGAATATTCCTGTAACACAGCGGAATATTCCTATAACACAACCACTATTGGAATCCGAAGGTACCTCTATGTTCGGAGTCCTAACATAATATGCGCTCTAAACTTACAACTTGTTGATTCCTATAATGATATCCTGATGATAATAATTTCATGTTCCACTGTCGTATTTTTAATTAAGAAAATCTTCAGGATGAATTTGTATTCTATAAGCCTTTGTAATAGGATGGGAAAGAAAAAATAAGCTGAATGATTGTATTTTGTATAGCAAGTTGTTGCTGGCAATTATGAGAATAAGCAAGTTTTTGCAGTATGGTGGTGAGGCTTAATGAGGGTGCATTAGATTTATATATTGCAATTGATATGTACAAGATATTTTAAGTGGATTGCTAGACATTTTTTTTTAAATCTTATAAAACAATGCACATAAACTTTCATTTATTTTACCTCTAAAATTAAAATATAACTTAAATAACATTATCCAGGAATCGTTTGGTAATTTAAAGATAGATAAATGTCATCTTGATAATGATTGGCCCATCATTGTTTTGATTTAATTTAAAAGAGCATTACCGTTACAGGCTTGGTAAAACGATTATCATCAACTTATTGATCATTAAGTACGTGTTCTTTCAAAATGAATTTCTTAAAAGAAAACGTTTTGATTTAATTTAAAAGAGCATTACCGTTACAGACTTGATAAAACGATTATCTTCAACTTATTGATCACTAAGTATGTGTTCTTTCAAAATGAATTTCTTAAAAGAAAATTATTTATATACCCCTTATCATTTAAATAGATTTTC